GTAGGCCAAGAGACCCAAACGCGCGAACGTGGCGACGACCCGTGGACGACGTTGATGGTGCATACTAGGCGCCACCAGTTAGAAGGCGGTCTCAAGGCGCAGATCATGGACAAGGCGCGTATGATCTCCGAGCACGTCAGTCATCCTGCACGAGAACTGCGCACGCACGGGCGAGTCGTCAGTTGGAGTAACAAGGAGCACGTGTTCGAGCAACTGCCCCAATATTGCCCCACGAGTGCTTGCTTCTTGTTCTCTGTTGCATCCCTCAAAGTACCTCGACCGACGCCCGCGCGACCTTGTTGCGCTATTTCTCGTCAACCTCGTACCAATGATATCGCACACGAATATGTGTTTCATCGAATCGACGGAAGATGGCGCTCATCTACTTTTCTTGAACGGGCTCACGTCCCAAAGCCATGCTTGTTGACTCGACACTTTACGTGGGCTTGGCTTGGGGCGAGCTACGGCCGAGACGAACTTGCCTGGATTGAGGCAGGTCGCAAGGTCGGGCCTGTTGTCGCCGACAACACCAGGGCTGTGGCCGCCAAGTGGCCTTGTGGTGCGAGTGGCGCCTGCTCTCACTCTATGGTGTGGTCGATATTCACATTTTCGTCTACTCTATCTACTTTGCCGACGCTTGGAAGCGAAAGTGGTCGAAGAGCGTTCGTGGCGGCGCGGGTTTCTTGATCGGACTCTGTACCGTCGGTTGGGGGATCATCGCCGGCGGCGTCGACTCGACGGCGTCGGTGCTCTCTGGCGTCGACTCTTGGGTCGCCTCTTGGGTCGCCTCTTGGGTCTGGGACGCCTTGAAACTTGGTTTCGGGGCAAAGAAGCGACTGCTTGCCGTGCTCTTGGAGGGCTGGGCTGTCGTCTTGGTTGGCTACACGAACACACAGAAGACATAAGATTCTCCATTGACTAGACGATGATCGACGACAAGTAGGCAAAATGCACCACAATGTACACAAGCACGACACAGATATGGAGACGCACGTGAGTAGGTTTTTTGTACATCCACTTGGACGCGTTCGCATCGGCAAAGCTGAGTGGGAGCTTGCGCTTCATGGTCGACCGCTGCACGAGCGACGACGTGCCTGCCGCCGAGAGCATGCGCGTGAAGGCATTCTCCTTCTCAGCCTCTGGTGTCACAAACATTGCAGGCGCCTTGGCCTGGACCGGTGTCGTCGGCTTTGGCGGGGCCGGCGCACGCGGCACGGCCGAGAACCGCGCCACCATGGACGCTGGAAACAGCGTCTGCGAGATCGGGTCCATGCTCCCATCTGCGATCTGCGCCGCGATCTCGTCGGGAATGATTGGTCCCAGGAAGTCCGTGTCCGTCAACGTCGTCGACAGCAGCGGTGTCAGCGTCACGAGCGTCTACGTAAAATATGTTGGTATGTAAGGAATACTGCTGCTGCAACCTTGGTGCGCGGGTCAAACACGCGCTGGTGGCGAAACGTCAAGCGGGCTTCCTCAACGTCGGCTTCGTACGTGGGCGATATCTTGAGCTTGCTCTCGATGCGAAGCGCCCGGACGACCTAGGCGATGTATGAGACGATGCTTTTAGCTGGGAGAATGCTGGTACCTTGCGCCAAGAGCCGTAGCGCTGGAGGAGACCGTGGGACTTCTTGACGCCGAGGCCTGGGATCGAGGCGACGTAGTCGCAGCCTGACATGATGCACATATCGAGAAACTACAAAGTGTCATGAGACGAGAAGAAGAGAGGATGATGATGTACCATGTCGTCGTTGAAGCCGACAAAAGACAGGCCCTTGTTCTTGGCCAGGTTGGACAGCTGGATCTCGTCCACGTGCCCAGCCTGGTCCATCTTGAAGAGCACCTGAGCAAATCCTATCAGTACTGGGAAAGGCGAGGACGTGCGTACCGTCGAGCAGCCGAATGGAAGGCAGTCCGAGTCCTCGGAAATGACGGCGTCGACGAGACCATTGCGCGCGAGGTACGCCATTTGCGCATCGGCTTCGTACGGGGCGACGACGTACTGTACATTGCGCTTCTTGAGGCACTGGACAAGACAATGTGGTCGGCGATGTCGTCACAGCGATCAGGTGTGTACCTCGATCACGCGGTGGGCCATAAACGGCGAGACGTCGACGGCCTTGACAAAGCACTGCCGGGCCAGATCGTACTTCTTCTGCTGGAGGAACTCGAGGCCGCTCTGGCGGTGCTTGTCTCGCGAGCTACGTGAGCCGTCATGTTGTTGTTGCTTCGCGTGTGGCAGGCTGTACCTTCGGCGCTCGTCTTCCTTGAGCTTCTTCATCGGCAGGTACCCGCCATCAAAGACAATGTACGGGATCACACCACACGTCAGTAGATGTTCGACTCGCTCCATAAAGTACTTGATATACCTAGCGTTTCTGCATGAGCGACGTCGAAGCGCGGTAGAGCGTACTTGTCGGATTCTTGACCTAGGCAGAGCTCTTGGCTGCAGCTGTAGACGCCACGGTGCAGCCTACGGAGGTTGACGCTTCGTCAGGAGGCCGTGGCCATGTCGCTCACGCCTATACCAGCAGTAGCCGTCGACCGCCACCGTCTTCCCGCGGTACTGCCGGAGCGTCGTCGGCGACGTGATCGACTTGAGCTGCGGCAGGAGACCCGAGATCCCCATGCGTGGTATACCCGGTGCTGGACGAAGCGACTTTGAATATTTAAACGCAACCTAAAGCACCTCGCGCTCATTGGCCAAAAAGCGCAAATTGCCTCGTCAGTGGCGTTTGATTGGCGGGTGTTTCCCGCTCAATTCCAAATTTTCCGTCAATAGTGTGAAAACTATATAATAGTGTGATATGAGTGCACCGCGCCACCCTTACGCTACTTAGAACTAGCGCAGCAGTTCAGCTGCAGGCACAACCTCACCTCACGTATTCCTATTACTACCGGTCGTTGTATCGTTTGCTGCTTACAGCGCGGTGTTCTACTCCATTGCCAAGGCTCCTGAAGTCAGAGCGACTAACTCACAGTCGGTGATGCAACGGCTTCGACTAAAACGACCGACTACGACAAACATCCGGATACCATTGTAACGGTCCGCTGCAACGCTAGTCATGACGACAACCTGGAGCTTTGAGCGTGATGGCCGCGGCTACCGGCGTTTGCGAGCCTCGTTCATGGCCAAGTACCTTCTCATGGGTCTCTTCCTCGCCACCGACATGGCGCTGAATGCGTCGGCCGAGTACGTCGACCTCGCAGCGTCCAACAGCATCAACACGGCCGTGAGTGTCATCTTGTGCGTCACCACGACAACGTGTCTGAATTGACGCGACAGTGAGTAGAGCCCAAGCGTTTGTGCAGATCGTCGCGGCCATCGACTTGTTCATTCTACTGGGCATGACATTTCCGTTCCGCAATGGCCTCCTCGGCCTCCTCGGGATGGAATTTCGATCGGTGCTGTACATGCACTTGGTCTACTTTGCCTTGACAACGGCGCTTGGCATCTCCCGCATCGTACGCCATTCATATACTAGTGTGTGACGCATGATTCCTTGTAGTCGATTCTGTCGGGCGGCCGACCGACCGTCGAACTGTGGGACCGCCCGGGCTACTACCTGCTCTCGGTGCTGCAAAAGCTCGGTGCGTCGTACCAGTGGCATCCGTAGCTAATCCTCTCTGCATGGAGTAGCCATGGTGCCCTACTGCCACTTGACGCTGAATGCGCTCACCAAGCTGGGCAGCGCCAAGTTTTACACCAAAGATGCTTGGGTTGCGCTGCACAACCAACTGTTTTAGTTTATTAGAATGCAATGGTCTACGTAAAAAGGGCTATGATAGGGGATAGCGCGACACGACGCCGTAGCCCTATGGAGATGAAAGAACATATTTGTGACGTCGACCCTTGATAATAAAACTTTGACGTGGTCGACTGGACAATCGAAACTGCAGGCCGCGTCGGGACGGCACAAGGCTGCGGGTGGCTGATTTAGACGAGTTTACATCTTATCCAATGTCCAGTGACACTCCTCGAGCGGGCAATAGTGGTGGAGCGTCGTACCAGTCAGTAGAACTGTAGTGGAGCGGGTTATTTTGTGGTTCTGGTGTGGGCTGCAACTCGTGCTTCCGCGGCT